CTACCACCAGGTGGCGCTGCTGAGGTGACTCCATATCAAGAAATGTTCTGAATGTTTCAATGTATAAGTGTGGCAAGTTTGGTGCTTTTAACCCAAAGCGCACAATTTTGACTGAAATCGCCTTAACCACTAGCCATTGTTCTTTGTTGTATGCATGCTTACCAATGCATGATTAGCAATATTAACACAGGCACTCGGTCATTGTGAAGACTGTATTAGGGTTTACCTCAGTTTTAAATATGATATAGTACTCCGCACTTCAGACCAGCTGACAAGGCTTTGTATCCTGCACTACTTTGTCATTCTAGATGTCTGGCCCACTGAGATATGACAGAATCTGTGGCTTTGACTTTTGTCATATTATCAATCGTGTTTGTTGTTCTTTAGTGTCTTTTTATAGATAGATATTTTATTCGGTAATTTCATTGTACAGTGGACATTGTCAGTTTCATGTGTTTATTCACGTTATACACATGATACATAAAAAACTATGTGAGAGAGAATATATGTTTCAACAATATGGTTAATGAACGTATAACAGCAGCGTTGTTTCATTTTCTAATACTGATCATCAACATCTTGTTTTTATCCCTATTGTTAAACATTGGAACACATCTTTCTCAAACATGTTCATACTTATCACATACAAATAAAACATGAAATTAATCCTCAATCTCCTCTAATTTGCAGCGTTTACACATACCCATTTCAAATTCGCTTTTTTCACATCTACGTCTAAACTTTACATTGAAATTGTGTAAAGACACTCTGAATTTACATAATGCCTTGACAAGCCATTTATCATCTAACATACTTATATACTTCTCTGTATCTATAGCAGACTTGATATTGTAATGGCTGAGGAAACGTGAAGAAGACATACCATCATGCAAGTTTTCACTTAACACTTAATTGCATCTTGGCTGTGTTAGTCTGCCCCGGCATGTCAGTGAACAATATAGATCTAGTGGTTATTCCAGGGTCACTCATGTACCTATGTATTTTAATCCTGGGGTGCCTCAGGTGGCAATCAAAATAACACATATTATTTTCCCTTTTTGTCAATTATCATATCATATCATATCATATCATATCATATCATATCATATCATACCTGGAACCACAATTTGTATATTCCCGCCCATAGCCATATTAAATCGTGCTGACTCCTTTCGTGTACCTCCCAAAATGTTTAGGTATGGCTAGGAAAATGACAGACCCATTTTCAGAAATGTGTGTTGTGAACTCCTTTATCCACACAAGTTCTTTTGCCGTTCAACGGCTCTTCCGTAATATTCTGTATTTGATCCACACTCTGATAACAATGATATTTCATTTTTGGACGTGAAAGTTATTAAGCAAGCAGACCCATTGAAAACACATATTTACTACAAGCCGACGGACACAAGCCTACAATTCAATTCATGTCATTCGCGGCAGACTCAAGTTAATATTCCATATTCGATGGCAAGAAGAGTGTGTACTATTGTTTCGGATGTTGAAACCAGAAACCGGACATTGGAAGAATTAAAGACATATCTCCATCTACAAGGATATCCATGTAGAGTGGTAAAAGACGCTGTAAATAAAGCAATGAAAATTCCACGAGAAACATTAATGAAATTAAAAGAAACCCATACAGACACGGACATTCTTCCATTTGTGTGTACCTACAATCTAGAAACTGTAAAATGATGTCCCTCATAAAAGCCAATCTTCCAATTTGACAGTAAGTAAAACTATGAAACATGTGTATCTAAGTGTAAGCTACTACACAGCCTAAAAATGTCAAATAAATTCTTTGTCCATCCAAATCTTCACAAAATACCAATACCGTCAGTGTAACAAAGTGTAACACACCTCGATGTGGAACTTGCTGGATAATAATTGAAGACTGCCAGTTTCAGTTTTGCCCAGATAAACTATTGACTGTTAAAAACATCATGGACTGTCGCAGTAACGATGTTATGTCTGTTTTAACATGGACGGGATGTGGTGAGCATTATCACTGTACACAGACAAATTCGAGATCCAAATGTACGTTGTATAAATGTAAACACATTGATGAATGCGGCAGTGGTCATTTTACTGTAGGTCCGTTATATAAATTGTTTAACAATGACAAACATTTACGAATGTAGAAAGAACAGATGTTCAACTCATTTGATACATTGTCGCACTTTCCTCTCTCGTACTGGCTCAAGAAAATTAAATTGTAGAACAATTTCATGTTCAAGACCGATTGTGTCACCTCGGATACGAACGTTACACATTGTAGACATAAACGCAGCAGCGTTACCTCTCTGCTATCAAGACGTGCATGGTGACATGTGTATTTGAAGACTATTTATGTTTTAAGAAATTGGTTTTTCCGAAGGTCTTGTGCGATGCAGTTACTTTAATTCCTGTCGTATCTATACAGAGGGGTGTGGTATAACCTACTGATCATTCCGCACTTGTTGTTTTGTCCAATGCACGTACACCATTCTATAACTTTCTCGGCTGACAGCTGTTTTAGCGGCAACACAGTAGAGACGACACCGGACGTTTGAAGTTTTACAAATCGGAATATTCCTACTTGCAAACACATTTGGGACAAGACTGTGCACAAAGAGGAAAGTCCCCACATCTTTCAGCTTGTGTTTCTACAGAAAGTTAAAAAAATTCCAACCTTTCTCGTCCAATGTACTTTGAGTACATTGCAATCATAACCTGCAAAATTCTTCCTCTGAAGATCAGTGGCCATGTGGGCAAATGGGTAGCGTGTTGGGCTTACATTCCACGTTTATGGTGGAGTTTTGAGTTCGATCCCACTTGGATATTTTGTAAAACTTGTATTTTAATAAGGGTTTATTTAAAGCTTATTTAAGTTTATTTACTTGTATTCATATCACCAAAGGCTGCATGACGATAATTAAAGTCAAGCAAAGTGACACTCATCATATCGTCAGAATTAATGGAGTGAGTGAGTGAGTGAGTGAGTGAGTGAGTGGGGTTAACGTCGCTTTTAACCGTATTCCAGTTATATCACGGCGGCTCAGCTTAATGTGGGCGGAAAGCCCGAGGTGATGCAGGTCTCAGACGTTTACCACTTCGGTGAAACCCACGAGCACGGGTATGGTGCTGACAAACCTAGAAACATAATCGGGGGAACCGGTATTCGAACCCACAATCATAGGTTTCTGGCGTGTCCAAGGCACGCAACTCTGCACAGCGAATAGCGGCGCCTCACGCGACTGGGCCACCGTCCCCCCAGTTTTCGTGCACTTTGAAAGGAGCTAAAGAGAAGTGTTCCCGCCCATTATTAGTTATATATCAATATATCTCTTCATCTGTCAGTCAAGACTTTAAGGCCTGGAAACTTAAGGTCAGTCAAGGACTTTAGGTCTGATGACTTAAGGTCAGTCAAGGCTTAAGGCCTGAAGCATATTTCCAACATCAATGAAATGACGTTTTCATATGCGTTTTATTTGTAATGGCAAGACCGCTAGGAAAATTTTAATTCAAAGTCAAAATAGCTCCCTGAGAAATGGTAGAATATATATAAATATAACACACCATGTTCGAGCTAAATATTTCATAATCAACAAAAAGCTTTGCTCTTTTTGTTTTCGGTTCTATCAATCGTATTTGTCTTTGTGGTTTAGGCTTCTTTACAAAACTTGAGCTATTACGTAACCAGTGGCATGACTTCTGCCATGTTGCCAACTAATCAGTATAATGAGTATATACTCCTATGAACTCTTATACATCAACATAGGGGTACGATAGTCGGGGGGCAACGACCACTTTGTGGAAGGGCCCCTGGTAATAAACCAATCTTAGCGCCAACACTATCATAAGCCAAATTTGGAAGTATTAGGAATTTATCAAGGATCTAAACAAAGTGTCCTTGGAAGGCAATTTTGGAAAAAATTGGAATGTCTTAAAAGTTGTTATTTTCCTAAATTCTGAGGTATTTTAACATAGCAATGATGTATAAATAAGCATCTTCCTCTTTACTGGTCCTGTTATCAGTGACATACAGTCTACTCTACTATACTAACATGAAGTGGTAAATACGACATTCGAATTTGGGAATTTTTCCATACATTTGCTGCAGATTTAGAGACAAATATCGGCTTCTGAGCAGTATAGTAGTTATGATTGTCTCAACACTGATTGGCTTTTGGGAAGCAGGTAATATTACCATAATTGACTTAATCAGGGCTCTGGAAAGCAACCAAAAGGGTCACTTATTGGGATACCATCTACAATTGGTGTGACAGAGAGGATACCAGCAACAATGTCATTGAGACGGTTCATAAGACAAGAAATGACCTGTTGGACAGCAACACACTAACTTAAACAATACCAGTGTGCAAAAACTCAAATCCAGCTGTACTTTCAAGCAAGCTGGCCAACATGGATGTTTCTATACAGACAGTTATACCTTTGTCAAGACCTGTGAAGATCTGGGACGGAATAGGTCTTCAGCAACACATGTTTGCCTAAAAGGCGACTATGCTTGTTGTAAGAAGCGACTAACAGGATCGGGTGGTCAGACTCGCTGACTTGGTTGATGCATGTCATCATATCTCATTTGCCTAGATCGATGCTCATGATGTCAATCACTGGATTATCTAGTCCAGACTCGATTATTTACAGACTGCCATCATACAGCTAAAATATTGCTTAGTGGGGCATTAAACAACAAACAAACAAACCTTTGTTAAGCTATCAAAATAAGGAAGTTTGTCATCCATAAAAAGTGTCAATTTCAAAGAGATGCTTAGCAAACAATTCTAAATAATTATGCCAAAACTTTCCAATGCCCACCAAAGGGGGGGGGGGGGTCAAGATAAGTTTTCCAAAAACCAAAATTGATCATCCTCCAGAACAAAACATTTTGCATAGACACAAGGGAAACTTAAACTACATTAAAGAATCGTTCTAACTAGTTTTCTAATACTGGCACAGTTCAAACATGGCTTTGATTATTCAAGCATCTGGAAAGTAACAACTACATCTCATAAAATGCCGCACTAGTCTATCTTAATCAGCCGAAAATCAACACACTGAACCCAGCCAAGCATACACAACCACCACTCCAGTTTGATTTTGAGCCCATCACCCACCATTTATAATGTTATGATCAACTGAATTTAATCGCACTAATGGGAAAGTTATCGACAAGTTAGCCACCACATGGACATAAAGAAGGGGCATTCCTCTCAGGATCAATAACCTAGCCTTGCTGTTAGGCTGCATTGGAGTCAGAACCCATATCATTATGTTTAAGGTAACTTGGTGATGAGCAAGTCTACATTCTGTTTACGAAAATTGATAATCAGAAAGTGTATAGACCCCTCCACTTGAAACAGAATCAGGAAATATCACGAAGATTAATTAATGAAGATAGCTACATGTGTGCTTATACTTTTAAAGTGTAAAACAAGCCATTCCGGCGATAAGGAATATTACTATTATATTGTTTGTTTGTTGATTAACACAGCACTCAGCAATATTCCAGCCATACGACCCGTGGTCTGTAAATAATCAAGTCTGGACCAGACAATCCAGTGATTGACATCATGAGCATCGATCGATGCAATTGTAATCGAAGACATGCATCAACCAAGTCAGCGAGTCTGACCACCTGATCCCTTTAGTCATCTTTTACGGCAAGCATGAGTTGCTGAAGACCTATTTGATCCCGGAATCTTCACGGGTCGTTTTCAACTGTGAGGAAGATCAGGTCAGAGTTGGAAAATTCAACTGTTTGTGTCCTGTTGAGTTGCAAAGCGATTTGTATGGACTTCACTTCAGTTGAGACACCAAAGCTAAATGTGCAACAAAGCTGTACAGTTCACAGCACACTAGAAAACTTTAACTGAGCAGAGCAGCCCAAAAGAAATTTGTTTTTGTTTGTTAAAATACATTTGCATAACTCTGACTTAGTTAATAGATGCATCTAAAGTATGATGCTTTATCTGAGCAATCATTAAAGTTTGTTTTTTTCTTCTTCAACTTTGTTCAAATATTGTCCCTATTGTTAAAATCTGCCCTTTGGAGGCAAATCTCCCCCATTTCAAAGTCAAATCTCCCCCATTTTTAAGTCAAATTACCCCCAATTGTCATGATGAGGGGTTGAGAGGTCTGTAAATGGATCGGGTGGTCAGGCTCGGTAACTTGGTTGATGCATGTCATCATATCCCAATTGTGTGGATCGATGCTCATGATGCCAATCACTGGATTGTCTGGTCCAGACTTGATTACTTACAGACCGTTGTCATATAGCTGAAATATTGCTGAATATCACAACAACAATGAGGGAGGGAGTGAGTATGGTTTTACGCCCCTTTTAGCAATATTCCAGCAATATCACGGCGGGGCACACCAGAAATGGGCTTCACACATTGTACCCATGTTGGGAATCGAACCCGGGTCTTCGGTGTGACGAGCGAACGCTTAAACCACTAGGCTATCCGACCGCCCCTCACAACAACAACAAACAATAAAACATATTTCACTCACTTTGCAACGTGCATACACGTGTGTGGTTGCCTGTGTTCCAGACTTATGCTGGTCTTATACCACAAGCCCACTGAGATACCATACAACAAGAGTAACATGGATCCCCCACTCAGACACATTACACATCACCAGACTCTTGCATCATGAGTTAAATGTCATTATGTTCAATAAATTAAACCTTATTTCATTTAGGAAAAACACATTCACAAAAACAAAACCTTTTCTCGTCTTTATCCTTAGCGCTTTCAAAGAGCTTTTGTCCTTATTTTATTCAATGCTTAAAGATGTTCCTTTTTACCCAAATATTCAAAGAACTGTTTCGTCCACAAACACCATTCATCTTGGTCTTGGGGCACATGTATGTCACCATTTCATTGACAGATCACAGAGAGGGATATTATTCCTTCCGAGATCGTTGCAAAAACGAGGACGTGTTCCTTTAAGACTTGCAGCCTGTTTCATGTGTGTTGGGAGAGCTCAAGGGTGGCGGAGATTTGCATACATTGTCATTCACCGCTGGTCTGCTTACATCAGGCTTTGTGCCTCAATCATTGGATCTTAGCCAGATCTCCTAACACCAGTTACAAACTCAATCAATTTCCCAGCCATCTTATCGACTGGGTGAAAGAACTATCCCCAATATTCATGTAATTGATTTGATCGCCATAGCAACCATTGAAGTTGTTGGAATGTCTATCCAGCAGGAGGGCCAAGGCCAAGGAAACAGAGGCATTCATGACACATGGAGGGGATTCAGGGGACATGGAGGGGATTCGGGGGACATGGAGGGGATTCAGGGGACATGGAGGGGATTCAGGGGACATGGAGGGATTCAGGGGACATGGAAGAGATTCAGGGGACATGGAGGGGATTCAGGGGACATGGAGGGGATTCGGGGGACATGGAGGGGATTCGGGGGACATGGAGGGGATTCAGGAGACATGGAGGATTCAGCGGACATGGTGGGATTCAGGGGACATGGAGGGGATTCAGAGGACATGGAGGGGATTCAGGGGACATGGAAGAGATTCAGGGGACATGGAGGGATTCAGGGGACATGGAGGGAATTCGGGGGACATGGAGGGGATTCAGGAGACATGGAGGGGATTCAGGAGACATGGAGGATTCAGCGGACATAGTGGGATTCAGGGGACATGGAGGGGATTCAGGGGACATGGAGGGGACATGGAGGGGACATGGAGGGATTCAGGGGACATGGAGGAGATTCAGGAGACATGGAGGGATTCAGGGGACATGGAGGGGATTCAGGGGACATGGAGGGGATTCAGGGGACATGGAGGGAATTCAGGGAACATGGAGGAGATTCAGGAGACATGGAGGGAATTCAGGAGACATGGAGGGGATTCAGGAGACATGGAGGGGATTAAGGGGACAGAGGGGCTCTCGTCCTTTAGTCCTTGCCAAACTGCCCAATAGTCAAGGTATCATTATAAGGACGAGTGGACTAGAACTGTTTGTTTCTAAGCTGTCTAGACATGCAAATGTAACAAAACTTGCTTGCATATTTTGATATTTTTGTTTAGAGACAGGTCTCCTGATCAATGTTTGAACCAAGGAGTATTTACTCACGTTATTATTCACATTGGGTATTGACAGTCCTCTCTTGGTATTCAATCTACTTTTACTCCCTGCGAGCCAGTCTATTGGGCTCTTTTCAACAATGGTAAACATTATTGTAATTAATTTGGCTTGAAATGCTGTTTCAGGTGACATCTAATTCGTATCTGTTCGTGTGCTGTCCCAAGTGGGTAACATAGCGTTGCATAATCTCACAACAGCGATGTCCACTTAACAATACGTAGAGCCTTTTCTGTGCATTATTCACTGCAGCAGAGTCCATGCATGTGTGATGACTACACTTGATCAGTAAATAAAGATCTCTCAAGACATACATCATGTAGGCAAGTAGAAAAAGATACACTGTTGTCACAACACTGCTCGGTATTACCAGCTTACAACAACACGGTTTTCTTTGTTACACCATACTGGGTAAAAAATATACACCACGCTTCGTTATTATTCGCATCATTTACACTGAAATTTATTTTCAAATGATTTTTCTCTCACATGATTTGTTTGTTCGAGGCTGGACCAGACAATCCAGTGATTGACATCATGAGCATCGATCCACGCAATTGGGATACTATGACATGCATCAACCAAGTCAGTGAGTCTGACTACCTGATCCCGCCTCTTACGACAAGCATAGTCGCCGCTTACGGCATGCAGGGTTGCTGAAGACCTTTTCTGCCCTGGATCTTCACTGTCAGTTACTGTCAACCACATTAGCTCCAAACATATCGCAACACTTATTGCAATAAATATATCTGTATCACAAAGTACCGTATTCGACGTAGTAAGCGCCCAGGGCGCTCTCAAAATTAGAAATAGGGGGCTCTTATTAAAATATTATTGTGGTGAAATAAAACAGAGTTGAAAGATAAATTTCGTGTTCATGTACGACAGATATATTTTTCCAGAATTTACGCGAAGAAATAAATCTTGTGAACATTGATCAATCGGAAGGGGTGCTAATTGGGATTGTTCACTAGCCAATATATTCGCAAATATCGCCGTGGGCGCTTATTAGAGCGGGGCGCTTATTACGTCGAATACGGTATTGCAATAAAAAAACAATTGCCAATATACAGCCCTAGTGCTGTTAAACAAAGTGTACAGCTCAAACAGGAATTGGGTAATGGTGACATATTGTGCATATTTGATGCAAATAAAAGGTCTGATGAGAGACATACCTGTTGGCAGTACTTGAGGATAGCAGGCTTCTTCTCTAGACAGTCGGTAGTGGTGTCGTACTCCCAGCCGTTCAGGACACGGTGCATGGCCGGCTTGTTGCACATGAATGCAACCATTGGCTCATACTTCTCGTCAACATTCACGGTTGCAGTCAAGGTCTGAAAGAAATCATTTTAATTATTGCATAATTTCAATCATGCACATGTGAACTTAATGTCTGTAACTTATTTCAAAACGACCGCCTCCGTGGTCTAGTGGTAGAGCGTCCGCCCTGAGAACGGAAGGTCCGGGGTTCGATCCCCAGCCACATCATACCAATAGACGTTAAAAGATGGTACTTGTTGTTACCCTGTCTGGTGCTCGGCATTCAGGGGCTAAAACAAGGACTGGTCGGCTCGGAGTCAGTATCAGAGTGGGGTATTCATGTTAAACTGTGGCATGGTATCTCAGTGACATAGCACTATAAATCGGCCTCAGGCCGGAATAGTACAAGCAGCCACACAAACACACACACGTACATGCACGTCGCTGTATAAGTACAATAATCTTGGACGCGATGTTAAACCCAATTTCAACTCACCTCACTTATTTCAAATATATTTAAAGTAAGGGATCATGAATATTTTGGGAATATTTTTTCGCAGAGAAGACTGAGAACAGAATTTCATGAAAATATCCCAAAAATATTTGGTCTCTAACTGTTTTTGTTTTGCACATGTGATATGGGGTGTCTCTGTAAGACGAGAAATCTTCTCCACACAGCTGTAATCTAAAGACAGTATGGTTCAGAGTTCTTCAGTTTCAACATGTTCAATGTACAAATTGGCTACATGTATGTACCGTAATCACCATGTTAAGCACTCCCCCAATCAACTTCTAGACCAATCTGTACGAAGTCTTAGAAGCACGAAAATTCACATATCAATCCATATTTTCTTGTGTTTATTACAGATCTTTGAACAGTAAACATGGCAGTATAGAAATGTGAATGTGAATGAGAGTGAGTGAGTGAGTCAGTGAGTCAGTGAGTGAGTGAGTGAGTGAGTGAGTGAGTGAGTGAGTGAGTTTATGCTTTACGTCACATCGGCAATATTTCAGCCATATCATGACGAAATGTGAATGTGAATGCCTAGTAACTTATCCAAACAGTTTAGTTTCACGGATGTTTAAAAGTCTGTTCTCTACTGCTCGATCTATGACAACAAATTTAACTTGTTTATAGATATGTTATTTATTACATTTTTTTTGGTCAAATTTGTTAGAGCCCAGGGCGCTTATTACAGTAAATATGGCAAGTCACTAATGACATGAATATAATGAGTTATTGCTGCTGGGTGTAATCTTTGTACAGCCTAATTAATTGGATCTGGTTTCATAACAAGGAAGGGAATTACGCTGCTTTCAACATAATTATGTGAATATCATGAATGGGAGAACTATGGTTTCAAGCAGCACCAGAGCAACTGAGTGAAAACTTCAACACCTTGTCATGCAGCATGAGCAATGATCCATGTCTCCCTGGAAGGAACACGCATCGTCAGGCATTTTAGCCGCTTGTTCTCCCTATCAGTGGACTACACTACTACAACAAGTATGAAGTACTGTCCACCTATTCTGCACAGGTGTAAGTCAGTTCAGCCAGTGTAACCATCTGATCCCCAATTTAGTACACCAGCATGACATACTGTCAACCTATTCTGCACACAGTAGATCATGGCATGCAGACGTCCAATCACATCAAGGGAGGTAACTCTGAATCTCCAATCACATCAAGGGAGGTAACTCTACACCTTCAATCACATCAAGGGGGGTAACTCTGCGCCTTCAATCACATCAAGGGGGGTAACTCTGCGCCTTCAATCACATCAACGGAAAAACCTCTGCACCTCCAATCACATCAAGGGAGGTAACTCTGCACCTTCAATCACATCAAGGGGGTAACTCTGCGCCTTCAATCACATCAAGGGAAAAACCTCTGCACCTTCAACTGAGGACACTTAAATTGCTAATACAACAAATCATGAACTCCCAACAAGCAAAGAAAACCCCACCTCAAGAAAATCAGAATGAAGACACATTACAAGCTGAAAAGACCTGTTATACTTCAACACAAATCAAACACTCAATAACAGGACTAGCAATCAAATCGGACAGCTATCATGAAATAGAGCTTGTTTGCCAGACTCAAGATATCAAATACTTGGCATAAACGTACGTTAACAAATGTTCCTATCCCAGTTGTAATTACAAAGCTATTTTCTCAGATGTTGATATATGTCCTGGGCGAGCTCCAAATTGACATTGAACAAACTGAACATGTCAGTGGAAAGGCCATAGCAATTTACTCAGAAACTGTACTCCTTCCCAGCCCGGAAATGTCAAATTTGCAGATTGATAATGCTTCAATTATGATATTATCTTTCTGTGTGTGGTGCATAAGTGCTTCAGATGCCTGAGAGCTGCTGGAACAAGGCCTTCTTCCACAAAATGATATCAGCACGATGACGAAATGGCCAAGTTGAAGGAAAGAAGTTACAATAGTTAGCTCATCTTGAAAGGAGCTTATTGTAATTTTTCAGCCACTGTTTGTTTGTTGTTTAACGCCCCACTCAGCAATATTACAGCTATATGACGACGGTCTGTATATAATCAAGTCTGGACCAGACATTCCAGTGATTGACATCATAAGCATCAATTCATACAATTGGGATATGACATGCATCAACCAAATCAGCGATTCAGACAACCCTATCCCGTTAATCGACTTTTATGACAAGCACAGTCGCCTTTGGTTGCTAAAGACATGGTCATTTAGAGATGTATTTAGAGTTTCAAGGCCCAAAGACTGTTATATTACAAGATACGGAACACATAGGAATGACCACCCGATCCTGTTAGGCGCCTCTTATGGCAAGCATTTCATATTCTTCCCTGGATCTTCACAGTTGTTTAGCCACTCACATATTATTCAGTTTTCTGTAGATATTAATATATTTTTACTACCTGCCAGGTGTGAAGTGAGGTGAATGGATTTTATTGTCACGTTCCAAGCTTATTGCATTTAGTGATGTGCATGCACGTGTTTGTGCGGATGCTTGTACTTGTCCTGACTGGTGCCTGTTTTATAGTGCTAGCCTTGACCGGTCGACTCAAAGTCAGTTTTCTGTGGCTGAGTGGAGTATCCATGGAAACAGGCAGGGTAACAACAGGTACCATGTTTTAACATCTTTGGACCATGGAGACAGTCCTCCCTGCATGGGGCCCAAAATCATAACATGGAGTGAGTGAGTGAGTGAGTGAGTTGGGTTTAACGCCGCTTTTAACTGAGTATTCCAGCCATATCAAGGTGTTAGCTTAATTTGGGAGGAAAGCCCGAAGTGATGCAGGTCTCAGACGTTTACCACTTCGGTGAAACCCACGAGTATGGTGGTGACAAACCTAGAAACATAATCGGGGTGAACCGGGATTCGAACTCACGACATGGGGAGTCCACACGACAAACCAACGGAGGCTCCAAGGTAAATCCTTACTCCATTGGTTCAAGTAATGCAGGGAAATGAAATGCATACCGAGTGTGTCACCTGGCACTCTTAAAGATAGTTCATTGTTTCCTTTGGAATGCAAGTGTGATCCATCTGCAAACTTGTGTGAATATCATGTCGCTGAGGCTAGATAATACTAGTGGTGGGACGATCCACCGATACATTGGGGATTGCAATATTTTACTTCCCGATACATGTATCCATCTTAGTCGCGCACTAAGTACAAATTATCGATTCATACCTTAAATGTTTACTTTAATGGCTGTTACATCAAATACTAATTAGTAGTGAAAATTAGCAGTATAAAAGTTATACTTGACACTGCCAGCTGTAAATCGTCAGTGTGCCAGGTATTTGACTATCCTGTCTATGAAAAAGAGGGCTAATACACCACAGATAAGAGCACTTCCAAGTATTGTGATACGTATCGGATCGTGAACAAGGTATCGTGATACGTATCAGATCACACAGTTGGTATATCGTCCCAGCCCGAGATAAAAAGCAGTCATAGAGTCAGTTAACTCCCTTGCCTCGGGAAAGATGTGTTATGCATGCACAACAGTGTAATCATTGATCTTGAGGCAACAGATGTGTGACACTGAAGATGTTATGTCTTATCTCAAAGCAAGGGATCAACGTATTCCTTATTGACTTTATTGATTAACTGACTAATGAATGTAGTATGATTTAACAGTACAATACTATGAACTAGATCTACAGATGACGAGTGAGTGAGTGAGTGAGTAAGTGAGTGAGTGAGTGAGTGAGTTAGTGAGTGAGTGAGGGAAGCAGGAGTGTGGCTGCATTTATGTGTGGGGTTTCATGCTCCCATGGGGGCAGTCGGGTAGCCTAGTGGTTAAAGCGTTTGCTCGTCACGGCGAAGACCCTGGTTCGATTCCCGACATGGGTACAATGTGTGAAGCCCATTTCTGGTGTCCCACGCCGTGATATTGCTGGAATATTGCTAAAAGCGGCGTACAACCACTCACTCGTGCTCCTTTGAACAGTATTCCAGTCATATCACTGCGTGTCACATAAATGAATATGGGAGGAAAGCCCGAAGTGATTTGGTGAAACCAACAAGGATGCTAACAAATGAAGAATCACAATGAGGGTGAACCGGGATTCGAGGCCACAATCATAGGTTCCTGTCTCCGAACCTCTTGTACAAAAATATGTATGGCAGGAAAATATATGTCCAACCACAATATCCTGTATGCAATATAACAAAATGAACAGTAATTACAGCCAAATCAATCGTGACACCAGCGGAAATTACACTTAAATCCTTTGACAATGAATGCTACCTGTTACAGCACAACACATTCCTCCTTCACCATGTTCACCTTCAGCCTTCACTGCACCAGTGGGAGCACATTATGGTAATTCTACACAAGGACCACTGGAACGCTACAATGGTCTCATTGTCCGGAATGACTAAGCGAGGAATTACACCATTCCATGTCAGAGTGGTATATTAGTGCTATGTTTAAAGGGTGGAAGTGCACAAGTATGGTATATCGGTGCTATGTTTAAAGGGTGTAAGTGTACAAGTATGGTATATCAGTGCTATGTTTAAAGGGTGTAAGTGTACAAGTATGGTATATCAGTGCTAT